GAGAGAGAGAGAGAGAGAGAGAAAAAGGGATAGAGGAAGAAAGAGAGAAAGAGAGAGAGAGAAAAAACCGAGTGGCCTCAGTTACCTGTAAAACTCTCAAGAGCTCCGAGACCATGGGTGCTAGGATGCGGGTGGTGTAGAAGCCTGGCCCGTCCTTGACCGTGATGACGACCTTGCCTTGACGGAGACCCACGTCCACCGCCGACGCTGGGCACAACAACACAAACATTTGTTAAGTTTCAGTAGAGGTTTGTTTGTTTTGCTTTAGTAAGAGTTTTACAGCACTTGCATCACAATAAGGTTATAAGTGCCAAAGATTAGAGGGGTTACAAGAGAGTAACTAACACAAAATAGAAGGAGGGGAGATAAGGACGATAGATGTTTGATAGGAAAGAAGGTACAGCTGATTTAAAACCTGTAAATTCTTTGCCATATCGACAGACCGAAGGGCTAGAACCCAAATGGCCGCTGGAGTGGAAAAGTAAAGTAAAAGTAAAGTATAGGAAAGAAGGTGCAAACCACACCAGAGCACCCGCCAACCACCCACACACATTTGTTGAGAACAACAACACATACATTTGTTTAGTTTTTTTGTTTTAGTAGAGTTTTTACGGCACTTGCAACTGCATAAAAGGTCATATGAGCGCCAAGGTGTGGATGTCAACAGAGAAGTCCTTACAGGGAATCAGACTTACTTTGCTCACCTCTCTAGCTTCAACAGCACAAAGTCTGCTTCGACTATCATGGCACCCTGGAAATAGTGGGTCACAAGAGTGTGACAAACATACAAAAGAAGTAGAGGAAAATGACGATAGTAAGGATTAGGAAAGAAAAAGCAGCAGTTCCCTGTCGTAGTTAAGGCACAGTTACGAGCATAACATTGTTGGATCAGCCCATTTACAATTCTACTGTGAATAAGAACAGGTAAATGTTCCCTCTTTGGGAAGTGCCTATAGACACTTCAGTCAGTAGCACTGCCCTGGGGGGTCAACGGTCATATGGTGCAGGGACGGAGCAAAGGCAGACAGAAACAACAGACAAAAAGAAATGACGTAGTACCTTCCAGTGACACCCTCCAACCACCCATGGTTTACTTTTGAAACTTTATCTACTGCATTATTTCAAGCAACATAACACAATATAAATGGCCATTCTTTTCCTTCAATAATAATTCATTTTCTTCTTACTTCAATCAACTAACCTTTTGTACATTCTACAGAGTTTTTTCCCCCATCAAAGAATGGTTACATCATCCCATCACATAGACCCACTCTGTGTGACTCAGGCTGATTTTTAGTTGTGGTAAAAGTGTTACGACACTTGCAACACAATAAGGTCATATAAGTGCCGAAGATTAGAGGTGTTACAAGAAAGTAACAAACACAAAAAAGAAGGAGAGATCAGGACAGTAGATATTTGATAGGAAAGAAGAAGCAAACCACACCACAGCACCCGCCAACCACTAAGGGCGTTTGTTCATCAGGTCAGCAGACAGACACATTGATGAACACGGGTTCAGTTTCAGACAGTCGTTTAAGAACCAGTGACCTCCACAGCCCTAGCATAGATCAATAAACAGCCTTGAACCTGACTCCACAAACACAAAAGTTAACACCTGGCCTAGAATTGGACCTTTCATGCGCACAGAGGTCAACAAACAGCCTTGACCTGGGGCAGTGATGCATGACTCACCAGTGTTTTTTAAGTTTTAGTAGAGGTTTTACAGCGCTTGCAACTGCATAAGGTCATATGAGCGCCTGGAGATTAGAGGTGTTACAAGAGAGTAACAAACATAAAAAAGAAGAAGGGGAGAAAAGGGCAAAAGATGTTTGATAGGAAAGAAGAAGCAAACCACATCAGAGCACCCGCCAACCACCCACTACTCACCAGTGGTGTCCTTGGAGGTTTTGTCTGTGGTGATGATCTCCAACAGCTGCATCTTGTCTACGGGGGAGAAGTAGTGCATGCCGATCACCTGATTGGGGGAAGGGTGAGGGTGAGGGAGGAGGAGGGAGGGTTGTTGAAGAGGAAAAGTTTTACCGCACATACAACGCATATATTATTTAGTTAGATTTTACAGCACTTGCAACACAATTAGGTCATATAAGTGCTGAAGACCAGAGGTGTTACAAGAGAATAACAAACACAAAAACGAAGGAGGGGAGATAAAGACGATAGATGTTTGACAGGAAAGAAGAAGCAACCACATCAGGATGTTTGTGTGAGGGTAAATCACCCCCATGGACATATCCCTTATGCTTGTTTCAGTCTACAAGACAATTCTCTTTTATTTTAAAAGAAGGTGTTTTCACACCCCCATTGACACAAATTAGGCATTTTGGAAGTGGGTTTCCACGCTGCCTGTCAAGGCCAACTGGGGCTCAGAAGGATACAACATCCCAGCAGACAGACCGAGACACTCGATAAAAATTCTCCCAATTTACGAATCGAACTCGGGTCTCCTTCCTGTAACAGCAAAGCGCCTTACTGCTACACCACAGATGCCTGTAGTCTCAGCGCACAAAAGTTGTATCTACACACTCACAGCTGTAGCCACAACGCGTTCACAGATGTAGCCACAATGCACCCACAAATGTAGCCACACCGCGTTCACAGTTGTAGCCACAAGTTACTAACAAAAGTCAGATGTTATGAGAACTCACTCACCTTCTCTGGCCGTTTGCTGGCTGCAGCGATCTGAGAGATGGGCAGGGCTGACGTGTTGGAGGCAAAGATACAGTCCGGCGAGATTTGCTGCGGGAGGTGGTGCGGAAAAAATTCTCGACATGAAATAATTGACAAACGTTGCACACTACAACAACTGAAATCTGAGCACACTACTGAAAATAAGCACTGAAATAATAACAAATAATACTAATAATAACTGCATTTATATAGTATACCCATGCTTTCCAGCAAGCTCTATGTGCTTTACAACTAATAACTTTTACATGTTTGAAATATCACTGTTTATACTTTGCTGTAAAGACCAAAGGCCTTTATAAAACTGAGAATTTTGTTGGGATCAATGATGGAAAACAAAGTTCTTCAGATTAGTACATGTAAAATATTTTCTTTGGGTCTCTCCAAAGTCCAAACATTCCATAAAGATATGCGTGATTGTTAAGGATGATATTGCATCCGACACAAAATGGTTTTTCATCTCCCTGCAGGAGGTATCTGTGCGTCAGGGAAGCATGTCCGATACATCATTTTGTAAACCAACTTTGTCCCTTCTGGAGAAACCCGAAGGTTTTCGTAGACCCAGTTACTTCATGACACAGGGGAGTTTATTGTTCACATGTTGGCTCCAGGGTACCTCCCACAGACAGATATAGGGGAACGTGTTAACACCCTACACACAGACTGGCGTGGGGGAACGTTTTAACACACAACACACAGACACAGACACAGAGGACACCCTCCAGCCTCACCTCCTCCACCTCCTTAATGACGCGATGTTTCAGGTCAATGTCCTCAAACACTGCCTCGATGACCATGTCGCAGTCCTTGAACCCGTCATAGGTCACCGTGGGGTCAAGGTTAGAGATGATCATGTCCCTCTCGAAACTATAGAGGAAATATTCACACGTTGGACAAAGTTCACATTCCTGACACGTTGACACACACACACATAACATGATAACACATGTCGGCATTAGTTGACACACCCACACACGACCATTTGGGCATATAAATGCCGAAGATTAGAAGTGTTTCAAGACAGCAACAAACACAAAAAAGAAGGAGGAGAGATAAGGGAAAATGTTTAACAGGAAAGAAGGAGCAAACCATGCCAGAGCACCCGCCAACCATCCACGTAGGAGGGGACTGACATACATGGAAAGAGACAGATATATACAGACAGACACCTTGAGGGGGACTGAGGAGAACAGACGTAGAGAAAGAAAAACATACAGAGAGAAGGAGATGGAGAAAAATGGACAGACAGACAGATAGACAAGGAAGAGACTGAGATAAACAGATAGAGAGACAAACTGACAGACAGTTTTACAGGAAGGAAGGGACTGACAAAAACAGATAGAGAGACAGATAGCTCGATAGACAGCCAGACAGCCAGCCAGCCAGCCAGACAGGCAGACCGACAGACAGACAGACAGACAGACAGACAGACAGACAGACAGACAGACAGACAGACACACAGGAGGAAGGAAGACTGACAAAAACAAACAGACAGTCATACAAGAAGGAAGGGACTAACATTAACAGATAGACACAGACAGACAAACAGAGACACAGACAGGAGGAAGAAAGACTGACAAAAACAGACAGACAGACAGACAAAAAGGAAGAGACTCCAACAAACAGACGACTGTACCTAGATATCTTCTTCTTCTTGACGGACAGGTCAAAGCCCTTCTGTACCTGGTCCTGGCCCCGGGCCAGACCCTGCAGCGACATGTCCTTCAGCAGCGTCTGGGGACAGGGCAAGGTCACAGTGTCACAACCTCACAAAGTTCACAATGTCATGACGTCACAAAGTTCACAAGATATGACCTTACAAGGTCACAAGCTCATACTTGTACAGTTCATTACGTCATCACCTAACAAAGTTAACAGGCTATGACCTCATAAAAATCGCAACGTTAGGACTTTGTTTTAGAAAGAGTTTTACGGCACTTGCAACACAATAAGGTCATATAAGTGTCGAAGATTAGGTGTTACAAGAGAGTAACAAACACAAAAAAGAAGGAGGAGAGATAGAGACGATAGATTTTTTTACAGGAAAGAAGGAGCAAACCACACCAGAGCACCTGCCAACCGCCCACAACGTCATGACTTCATAAAGGTCACTGGGTCAGGGGCTGACAAACTCCAGAACTCGCTCCATGAGAATCACCAGCCAGCATCACGTACTGGTACCCCTTCTCACGTCAACGACCAGAAATCTTTTACGCCACCATCTACATCATGTAACAGGCAGGCTGTTTCTACCTTCCCCCCTCCCCCCTACCGCCTACTGACCCCCACTCTCCCCCAACCCCACGTCATCCACTCTCACCCCCCATCCTTTCCCAGTCTCACCTTCATGCCTTTATCCACAGAGACCTGTGCAATCCCCGCCCCCATCAGGCCAGCTCCCAGGATTCCAACAGTGCTGAAAGGGATGAGGAAAAACACAAGACATGAGGGTGACACTTTGCTACTGGTGATCAAAGTAAGGAAAACACATGACTTGAGGGTGACAGTTTTTTGGTATTTTTCGTAAGTGCATTACGGCACTTGCAACACAATAAGGTCATATAAGTGCCGAAGATTAGATGTGTTACAAAGGAGTAAGAAACACATGTATGAAGGAGGGGAAATAAAGATGATAGATGTTTGATAGGAAAGAAGGAGCAAACCACACCAGAGCAACTGCCAACCACCTTCAGGTGACAGTTTGATACTTCAGCATTGCCGATCAAAGAAAACACAAGACATGAGGTACCAGTGTGATACTTAAGAATCGATGAGCAAAGCAAGGAAAACACAAGAATAAACAAAATCAGAATCCTAAATACAGTAAAACCTCAGTATAACACATAGGGCTTAAAACATACGAAAATAAAAATCCATTAATGATAAGTTGTCAAATATTGCAAATAAATGAATATTCCAAATACATGTGAATAAACCTAAGCATTTTCATGTCGTTTACGACAGCCATTTTCTAGCTAATTTTACTCTGTCATTTGGTGACCCCACCTCCTTCAATCCTAAATATCTCCACTTCTATTCAAAATAGGTAGGTGTCTTATTTTCAACAAAAGCAAGACAAATGAACAAGCTTTAACTTTAAGATAATACCAATAACTCCATATGCCCCAAAATTAACGAGCGCTTGATTCCACCATATCACGATAAATTTCTTACGTGGCCTTTTTCTGTGGCTTTCCAAAGCTGTTCTTTTTGCAGGCCGTCTGTCCGTTAAACAGGCCAATCAGGGCTTTGGACTCGGGTGTCATCGCTAGCTTGCCGAAACCCTGGCAGATGAGACACAGGGAAATTTACATGGGATGTAAACAGGACATAAATGGGACAGAAGAAAATGCAGAGGCAAAAGGGTCATTGATGGGACAGGGGGGAAACTTAGAGGTAAATGGGATGTAAATGTGTGTGCGTGAATACGTGTGTGAGTGTGTGTGTGTGTGTATGTGTGTGCGTGTGTGTGCATGTGTGCATGTGCGTGTGTGCGTGTGTGACTAAGTGAATGTGTGTGAGTGAGTGCGTAATTTCTTCATTCATATAAACAAATATGAATTATTTCACAGTTACTGTTCTCTGTACTCCAATATAAATGTCAAGGGCCTAGAGCTGTGTGCGCCAAGGAGTAGGCACTATACAAATTATTTGTTACATTTTTTTAGTAAGTGTTGTAGGGCACTCGCAATACAATAAGGCCATATAAGTGCCGAAGATTAGAGGCATTACAAAAGAGTAACAAACACAAAATAAAAGGAGGGGAGATAAGGACGATAGACGTTATCAAAGATAGTACAAGACAAGATGGGCCACTTCTCTCTTTGAGCCAATTAAAAAAGTGTCCTCAAAATTTGGTGGCGCCCTCTTCACAAAAGCGCACTCTTTGCGAACAGAGTTACCCTACTTGAGTTTTAAAAAATCAAAGTGAAACTAGCAAGTTTTGGGATAAATTTCGGAAGAACGCTTTTAAAAATGGTTACGCTGACAAAAAACCTCTTCCGGAGGAAAAGGAGATGGTTTTCTTCGTTTAATTTGACTTTAGAATTAAGGGCGAGAGGTCATTAAAATAGAAAAAAACCTAAAACTCCGCACTGAACGTACCCGAACTGCTGATGAACAGCAGTCGATCTGCGCACGCAAGGAGGTGCTATTCCTATTCTTCTTCTGGAAAAACGAAAGAGAGCTTCAAAACAGACTGCAGCGCCATCTGAAGCAAAGAGCATACTTCCTGCGGACACTTTTTAGGCTGAGTGGCCCATCTTGTCTTGTACTATCTTTGACGTTATATAGTAAAGAAGGGGTAAACCATACCAGAGCACCCGCTAAACACCCACATACAAATTATGATCTACATTCCTATAACAAAGAGCAGAAACATGCACTCACTTCTCTCTCTGCGACGTAGCCTTCCTTCAGTCCCTTGTCCAGGCCGGTCCTCACAACCTACAACACAAACAGGAAAAAAAATAAAAATTCCATACACCACAGACATCACAGAGACAAACTAATGACAGATAGCTAATGTAAGACATGAGAAATATAAACTTGTGTACCCACATCCATCATGCAGGCGGAATTGCATACAGACGTATCTCAAAGGCCGCCAAAAATGACTTATGTGTCTGTATGCAATAATGCCCGCGACACTAGTAACACTGTCTCATGAAATATTACCGAGGCAAAATTGTCCAGGACTGCCACCCATCATCAAGGAGAAATGTGGTTGTCTTAGACAAGTGCACGTCTTAGACAGAGTCACTGTCATGTCAGAAAGCACAAGGGGGAAGTGGGAGGGTGGTCATTTGTACAGCTGATTGTCTCTGACAATGTCATTGTCATGTCATGGTCGTTTGTACAGCTGATTGTCATGGACAGAGTCACCGTCACGTCAGAAAACACAAGGAGGGAAGTGGGAGGGTGGTCGTTTGTACAGCTGATTGTCACGGACAGCGTCACTTTTTTGTTTGGTTTAGCAGAGGTTTTACAGCGTTCACATCTGCATAAGGTCATATGAGCGCCAGAAGATTCGAGGTGTTACAAGGGAGTAACAAACATTTTTTAAAAAGCAGCAGTTCCCTATTGCATTTCAGGCACAGTTATGAGCATGACATTGATGTATCAGCCCATTTACAATTACAATTCTACTGTGCATTAAGAACATGGTTAATGTCCCCCTTTCGGGAAAGGCCTAAAGACACTTCAGTCAGTAGCACCTCCCCGCGGGGTAAAGGGGGAAAGTGGGAGGGTGGTCATTCGTACAGCTGATTATCATGGACAGATGGTCATTAGAGCCGTTCTTCTCATCCAGTAACCAAAATCACTTCCAAATAGGTGACAAAATAAAGTCTCACTTCCACAAAAGTGACAAAATAAAGTCCCACTTCCACAACGGTGATAAAATGAGGTGCACAGATCAAAAAAAAGGACCTTTTCCTTAGCCCAGAAGTAAGGAATTGTTTATAAAACATTTATGAAAACTGAAATGGTAGAAGCCTTAGGTCATCAAGTGATACCTCAATTTTACTCAAACCATTAGTGAACTACACATTCTATGGACAGCACTCCTTTTCATACTATGCTCCTCGGTTGTAGAATGACGTACCTAGATACATCATAGACTCGAATTCCCTGGAAATGTTTAAAACGCATTTAATATCTTTTGGCAGAGGCATGTTTTTACTGCTCTTACTGTCTCGATCAATGTAATATCAATAAAACTGTAGAGAGAGGGATAGGGAAGAGTGTGTGAGAGAGATTGAGAGAGAGAGAGATTGAGAGAGAGAGAGAGAGAGAGAGAGAGAGAGAGAGAGAGAGAGAGAGAGAGAAAAGATCCCTATTAGAAGTATATTTTTTTGTATAACTGTCAAGCGTAGTGAGAACTTTCCTATTGGAAACGCATTACATAAATGTAACTGAAGATTATTATTATCACGATAAATTCCACCCCAAGGCCACATGCGTCCCAGGACTGACCTCTAAGATCTTGAGTGGCGCTGGGTACAGGCCGCCCGTCATCTTCATCACTTGTCCCTTGGCCTTGTTGAACACAAAGTTTTTGCCAAAGTCGTAGCCCAGCAGCTTGTCCATGATTTCTGGGGCAGGGGGAGGCGTTAGTTAGTTCTAGTAAAGTTTTACAGCGCTCGCAACTACATAAGGTCATAAAAGCGCCACAGGGTGGATGTCAACAGAGAAATCCTTACAGGGAAGTGGGCTTACTCTGCTCACCTCTCTAGCTTCAACAGCACAAAGTCTGCTTCGACTATCAAGGCACCCCGGAAATAGCGGGTCACAAGAGAGTGACAAACATATAAAAGAAGTAGAGGAAAATGACGATAGTGTGGATTAGGATAGAAAAAGCAGCAGTTCCCTGTTGCAGTTCAGGCACATTAATGAGCAAGACATTGATGAATCAGCCTATTCACAATTACAATTCTACTGTGCCTAAAAACATGGTTAATACTGATTAAAGTAGCTGAGGGTTACCTGGTTTCTGAGATAAAATCTGCAAGAAAATGGCTGCCAAAATTTGGTGACTACCAAAGCTGGAGAGTCCTTGGAAACTGTAAATTTACATTTTTCGTGCTTTTATTCAAAGTTTTTCAGTAAAATCATTACAGGAATTTGATTTTACAAAGACATAAAAGACGTTGAATCCAAAAATAAAAATTCGAAAAAAAAAAGCCAAATGGGAAGAAATATGCCGTTTTCTTCGATTTCATTATTTTAACGAGCGTCTGATTTCACCACGATGGGTCACATATATATATCATTAACATTGCACCCGAATAAGGGACACAGGACAAAAAACAAATAAATAAAAGGGGGATCACTCACTGTCAGACATTCCCTTCTTGCGGGGAGTTCTCTTCAAGCGACCGGCAGCAAGATCTCTGTACAGGAGGAGAGAACAGGCCACTGACGTTACGTGAAACACTTAACTCTAGCTAGTGACGTCATGTGTAACATTTAACTCTAGCTAGTGACATCATGTGTAACACTTAACTCTAGCCAGTGACGTCATGTGTAACACTTAACTCTAGCCATTGACGTCATGTGTAACATTTAACTCTAGCTAGTGACGTCATGTGTAACATTTAACTCTAGCTAGTGACGTCATGTGTAACATTTAACTCTAGCCAGTGACGTCATGTGTAACATTTAACTCTAGCCAGTGATGTCGGGTGAAACATTTAACTCTTTAGTTTTAGTTTTAGTAGAGATTTTGCGGCGCTCGCAACTGCATAAGGTCATATGAGCGCTAGACGATTAGAGGTGTTACAAGAGAGTAACAAACATAAAAAAGAAGGAGGGGGAGATAAGAACGATAGATGTTTGATAGGAAAGAAGGAGCAAACCACACCAGAGCACCCGCCAACCACCCACACATTTAACTTAAGCCAGTGACGTCATGTGAAACAATTAACTCTAGCCAGTGACGTCATGTGAAACACTTAACTCCAGCAGGGACAGACAAGATCGTAGGCGGCAACTTTTCAAGACTGAAAAGCAGACTCTACGTACACCTCAGGTCAAGACGGTGGGCACTGGACATGTAACCCTGCCTCCCCACACCCTTCACACACACTTTTCTATATGTAATTAATTCAAACTGTTACAAACAGACCTGCAACAATAACGTTAGAAATGTTAGTAAAAATCTCTTTAACTGACTTATGAGTTTTGTTCTCATTATTATTTACAAATCCCATCTTGAAAGTTCATTATTCTTCTTCAGCATCAGCAAATCCGAGAGGAACAACACTGGAACACAGAGGTGACATATTCTCTGACATAGAAACGTACTTACGAACTCCGATCCCCAAAAGTGTACCAAATAATGTCTTTTACATACTGGCTGGCAGCTACGAAAGAACAACGCCCACAACCTCAACACGTTCCTACAACAAGCCATAAACACAAGCTCCATCCCCTCAGTCAGTCCTACTCGACCAGTGCTTGTGCAGTAGCAGATAGGTGCTTCTCAGTCGCACCCACAAGACCCAAGTTCGATTTCCGAGTGGGGGAGAAACTTTTACCAAGTATCTCGGTCTTTCGGCTGGGATGTTGTATCCCTCTCAGCACGGGTTGGCCCTGACAGTCAGGATCGGGAAGCCTGTCTCCTAAATAACCTAACATTGTGACAATGGAGACGTAAAAACACCAGCATAAAAAAAAAAGAAGTCCTACCTGGCAGTTTGTACAGCGACCTGTTCCAAGAATGCCAGAGAATTCTGCTCCGGGTCGGCCACGCCCGGTCCTGCGGGAAAACACGAAACCATGGATGACCACTCACGAGAAATAATAATAATTCAAAATTGCATTAATTCAGCACATGTCCACAACCAACAGCATACTCTTAGTGTTTTACAACTATTATTACCCTAGCAGACCCTTGAACACTCACAAACATTCTCCGCCTCCCAGGAGGCATACAGTGAAAGCTGCGGATTGTAAGCGCTCAAACACAAACAAACTAACAAGATCTTTCGCTGTCTATAGTCGAGTACCCATCCCCACCTGGGTGAAGAGAGGAAAATTCATGTTAAGAGTCTTTGCCAAAGACACAACGTCGGGCTCCTGACAGCGCTTCACTGTCGCATGCAGGAGACCTGAGTTCAATTCCTAAGAGGGAAGAATTTTTAAAATCAAGAATGTCTGTCTGTCTTTGTGCTAGGATGTTATATCCCTCTCAGCTCAGGTTGGCCCTGACAGGCTGGGTCAGAAGCCCGCCTCCTAAATCATCTAAATTGTGTGGATGGGAGGGTAAAAAAACATCAGCAGTTAAAAAAAACAACAAAAAAAAACCCCAAAAAAACCCAAAGGAACAAACTATACCAGAACACCCACCAACCACCCCCCCCCCCCTCCCCCTTCGTGTACTCACCTAGGGGCTCCACGGTCATGTCCACCAGCCCCATACGTTTGGCCTTGTTGGCCTTGATCATCTTGCCAGTCAGCATCATGTCCAGGGCGTTGGGCACCGACACCTGCTCATGGACAAACCAACAGTCACCAGTTTGTTTGTTAGTTTGTATGTTTCACTGATGATAACGACAATAGTAAATGATGGAAATATAGGCCTAACCCTAGGCAAGGAGACCCACAACTCTGCCAGAGCCTGGAGGACCTGTGGCAGACAGCAGCCTTCACAACAGAGACTGGGTCGTCCATTTAGATGAACGAGAAGAAAAAAAGAATGTATTTTAGTTTTTAGTTTTAGTAATAGTTTTACGGCACTTGCAACACAATAAGGTCATATAGGTGCCGAATATTAGAGGTGCTACAAGAGAGTAACGAATGTCTGACACTTTTATGGTGCGCAACCTTGATTAGGGAACACAGGCTCCGAGCCCTTCACAAATACACCAGTAACATAATATGTTATATTATAAATTGCACACGGTTCTCTGAATAAACATCTATCTAATATCTTGAACCTAACAAATGAAATGACTTGAGCTGACTTTCGAATGAATTTGAAGATTTGATCTCTCTTAACTCACCAGGCGGTGCATCCCAGACCTTGGGTCACGAGTAAAGAGAAGCACCAGGACACAACGACAGTCACTTAGGGCTGGGATAAAGCTAGGCAGGGGCAGGAACAACAGAGGAAAGCAAGGGAAAGAAGTAGGACTTAACAGTGACACCCTCCGACCACCAAGAGACATTTACAGGAGGCTACAACAGACATCATATAGTGACATTGTTCACAAAGCTTTGACCTGGAGCCAAGGGTAGATATTAGAGTTGAGTTCCGTCCACAAAGTTTTTTATTAGCGAATAAATGAACACTTGTTTCTTTTGTCTGTAAATAAATGAACCATTAATGATGGCCCACCCTCCCCCAGTCATGCAAGTAATAAATCGGTACGGAGAGTTAGCTACACCATTAAAATCTAAAAATGACTCCCCCCCACCCCATCACCATCACTACTAATGAGCAATGACCCCCCCTCCCCCACCACTACTAATGACCCACCAAACGAGGCAGCCTCTGCGTCCCACCAGCACCTGGCAGCAGACCCAACAACACCTCAGGCAGACCAAGGCTCGTCTTTTTGTTGTTCATGGCGATGCGGTAGTGGCAGGCCAGCGTGGTCTGAGGACAAACAACACAGTTCAAATCTTCCCCATTGAAAATGTCACTCATACCTACCCCATAGAAAATGTCACTCAAACCTTCCCCATAGAAAATGAGCACAAACAACACAGTTCAAATCTTCCCCATAGAAAATGACACTCAAATCTTCCCCATAGAAAATGACACTCAAATCTTCCCCATAGAAAATGACACTCAAATCTTCCCCATAGAAAATGAGCACAAACAACACAGCTCAAATCTTCCCCACACAAAATGTCTCGAGAAATGCGAAATCCCGCAGGTTTGACACCCCAAGAAACACCGCCAGAAGCCAATGGTAAACACGTAGGAAAATTTTTTTTTTTTCTAAACCAAACAAAACGGTGGAGTTCAAGTTCAAAACAAAAAGACAACAGATCTACACACTGTTGTAAACTGTTAGACCATCTAAAAAAGATTTTTTTTCAAAGAAACTATTGAAATATTATCACCACACTCCCAATAAAAAAATGATAATGAAATTAAGATTTTCTAAAAGTTGTAACACACAGATATTCCCAACTAAAAGAGTGAAAGCAAACAGAATCAGAATCATGACACTTCATGGAGCGACAATTGGGTGACAGATTATGATTAAATAATATGTTACACATTGCGGATTGAAATTTGTCAGAGTCTTTGAGCCTGCCTTTCTGCTGACTAAATGATTTATTTCTCCGGTTTTGGCTCTATGGAAATATATACATATGTCAAATTTATGGGTTGACTTTGTATAATTTATTTGTAAGAAATGACAAGAGACTTGTTAAACTTGAAAAAAAAAAAAATCTGTTGAGCATCCACAAATTTGGCCCTAATGTCCATTTTCTGGTAATATCTTCATTTCTTGACTGCGAGGAGTGACTCATTCTGTCAGCACATCTCACGTACAATACATGGACCTCATGGACCTGGTCGGAAAGGCTCACAGAAAACATTGCCATCTCATTCACAAAAACTGAATACAAAAACTGAATTAAAAAATCTATGGACAAAGAAACAGAGTTGAGAGGTCGTAACAAGCCGTTCCTCTCTTCCTTCCTTCCTCCCTTCCCACCAACAACCCTCACCTCGAGTCCTCCGCCGAGAGCAGTGCCCATGATGGCCGCCACAAACGGCTTTTTGCTGTCCTCCATTGCCTGGAAGGCTTCCTGGCCCGCCTGTGCCAGCTTCACAGACTCTTCCTCCGTTTTGCATGCGTCGATCATACTGGGGAAACGGAACAAGAGGAAACTGAACTTCATGAGAGAAACTCACTGATCCATCATAACATCTTTGGTGACTCCCACACCAAAGGAGGGAAATCCACTATGTCTTAAGCCAGAACTTGCAACAGAAACTATAGTTATACACTGGCAATTACGAAAGAAAGAGTACCCCCCTCTCCCTTTCTTTCTCTAAAAAAATCCCAACTAAGAATAGCTCACTCTCTTCGTAAGTCATCAAATGCAAAATTCAAAATTTACGCTATCACACCTGTGAAATTCTATGACACACCCTCATACCCTTTTAGATTCCCAATACTAAACACCACAAGTATGACGACTCTTGCTGGAAACCAACGACTAAAGTTGTCCAAAGAAATAGCTAAACAGAAATTCAGTGAAACGTTAACAACATTACAACATTTACTCCAACTAAACTTCCTCCCATGATATGTATCCAGCAGTCACTATCCACTGTTTCTCATTTCTGCCATCCATGGACAAACAGAGCACAGTTTCAAGCAATGGAGTAGACACACAACTCAGTCTAAAAAACAAAACTAGCAGGAAGAAAAACTAGTTTGATTCTTCTCCCAACAACAAGTGTGATCAGTAGCCACAGTGATTGTCTTTTTGTGTATGTGTTCTTCTGTCAGACTACGGGTGTACATGTATTTGAAAGGATTGTTGTAGGTTGGATGCACCAGTATGCATGAAACGTTAATTAAAATTTTATTTTACTGTGAAGCGCCTGGAGCCACCAGTGAGTAGGTGCAACAGAAGCAATCTTTGTCATTATTTTCATTATAATTACCATTATGATTGAATCTGCTTACCCAATGTCTGCCCCAGCGATGAAACAACCTGGCTTTTTGGAGATGAGCACAGCAGCCTTAATCTTTTCATCTCTGTTGATTTGCTGGATGCAGTCATAGAACTCTGACTGCATGGCCTGGCTCAAAGTGTTCACCTTCACGAAGACAGAGAAAAAAAGGGTATGAAATCGTCAGAATTGTTTGTTTTTGTTTTAGTAAAAGTTTGACAGCACACAATTAGGTTACATAAAAGTGCTGAAGATTAGAGGTGTTACTAAAGAGAAACAAACATAAAAAAGGAGAAGAGATTTAATAAGAATGATAGACTTTGATAGAAAAGAAGGAGCAAAACATACTAGTGCACCCTCCAACCATCCACTATGAAATGTTTGTGACGTACCCATGATCCGTCGCACACAGATACATGAAAGAAAGAGGTACAGTACATAGTACTTGCATACCATGCCAAAGGTATCAGGTTTGAAGTCTGACTCTGGCAACGTGTTGGAACTTCTTTCATCAAATGTTTCCCCACACCATGTATGAGAGAGCAAGAGAGTATTCCATTGTCTCGCACCGACTCTTTCACCCTGAGCCAACAAAACCCTGATGTTCTGTGCGTACTTTTTGTTATAAATTCCATCTGTTTGGAACTCTCTCCCACAACATTTGAGGGGTACAAAGTCGAACGCAAAATTTACAATTCATAAAAAAATAAACTTTAAAAGAAAATGCCATCTTGACAGTGAAACTTTCTTACTCCTAGCACTCTGATGTTCATAAAGTGATGTGTATATTGTCATCAATTGTGCTCTGATGGTAGAAATGTCTGCTTCACTGACATGTGTCTTTTGCGTTGAGATAAAGGTATTGTAAAGCGCCTAGAGCTGTATTGTACCGGAGTGGGCGCTACAGAAATTGCCTGCATTATTATTAGTTGTAAACTGACAAAGTAAGCCTGATGAACAACCTCTACACCTTCTCTTGAAAACTTGACACAACTACCTATCAGGCGAGCGACGCAATGTTCTTGTCAGAAACAGTTATAAATTATTGTATCACAGTCAGAGAACAGTCAGTGGACGAGCCAACGGACGAGGCAGCCGTCAGATACCCTGAGACTCGGCGAAAGACAGCGAAAGACAGAAGAGACTGGTATACTGTATTTATGGAAAACTCAAGACGTAAGAGATTTAGTTTTAGTACAAGTTTTACAGCACTTGCAACACAAGTAAGTCATAGACGAGCCAAAGATTAGGTGTTACACTTAGAGCTGGAGTAACATAAAAGAAAAGAAGGAGTGGAGATAAGGATGATTGATAATTATGTTTGATAAGACTCGCTGAAGAGATGTACCGGTCTAGTGTACATATATAATATATGTACCGTCAGTCTTAGGTAAAAAAGAGCACACAGCCACAAACATACAAACTTCATAAAATTAGAGGCAAGGGCAGAGTAAGAGAGAGAGAGAGAGGTGGGGGGGGAGAGAGGGAGAGGGAGAGAGAGAGAGAGAGGGAGAGAGAGAGGGAGAGAGAGAGAGAGACAATAATTTGTGTACTCTTTGGGACATTATTTTTCACCACCAACTTAGTCATTTTACACGTTCTTACACATCCACACACTGCCAGAGACAACAACAATACAGTAGGGAATACCTTTGAATCCGGACTGTCAAAACGTACAACTCCGACATCGTCAGCGACTTCAAGGTTGACATATTTTCCTACAAAATACAAACAAAGACCACATTGAGGACATCTGTCTGGACATACAAATTGTTGGTGTCCAACACTATCCATTCTTCCAGCAAATTAGGGCAAACTTTTTTTGTCTTTTATACATCATAACATCACAACATCATCATTACAATTGTTGATACTATCTCAGTAAACCCGAGCACTGTACAAAAACATTTTAGCAATTGTGGTGGACATTTTTCCCCCAAATAAACTGAGTGACCTCACACAAAGTCGGACACTGCCAAAAACTTGAGACAAAATTGAAACTAAAATTTTCAGTATCAAATTATCAATATAAATTTCCAAAATATAAATAACAAGAACAGATCTGAAATTCTCAATCATGATCTGTTCCGAAAGTGAGGTGTACATGTGTATATATTATATTATTATATCAGTTCTGTCAAAGTGTCAAAGACCTTGGCTTATTTCCACACCTAATCATTTTCACTAAGAAATATTCGTCATATTTAAAATACAACATAATAAGAACTGAAAAATGAAAAAATTAAGAAAGAGTTCCCAAATGAAACAGATGCAGTAATTTCTTACAAGAAAAATGTCCGTACTTGCATGTATTTACAAAGAAAGCGGCTGTGTTTGAAATCCATAATAAAACCCTCAACTCCATGATTGGACTTTGACCTTCATAACACACAACTGTAACAGAGTACAGCAGGACAAGACTATCATCTATGTTCCTTATGTTTGTAGTTTGAATGGAATAATCAAACGTCTTTTTGCTTTTAGTTTATCAGCAAGATAAAAAAACAGCACTAAATGAGTACTTCTGATACAAATAAATAGGCCTATTATGAAATAGTAAGTAGGCACTCATAACTCTAAGATTGCAGGCAGGTTTAACATCTGTCAAGCACCAAAGTCTCTTCAATGGAATCACATCTGAGATATACTGTCAATCCTTTCCTGTCACAAAAACTTTACTCTTGATGCCTTGTACAGTTATCCCACATGCGCATAGCAAGATTCAACTGCTGATTTTGTCAATACCAGTTTTATAGGATAAAAAATAAGTAGTTTCACCATGAATCATGAAGTAGCGCTGAACCAAAGCTATCAAAGTTAAATGCATATATATGAGGCACTGACATCTCGTGTACATACAAGTGACATAATAAACCATACACAAAAGACACCAAATTCAATTTGCTACAAAGGAATTAATTAGTTCACAGAGAGTAGAGCAACGTTGAGGTTACACTGTAGCCTACTTACCGCTCATCACATGAGAAGACGAAAATAATCTGCAGTTTTCTGTGAACATGGAAGAAAGCTGGAGTTAAATCGTCTGCTAACTTAATGAAAATAACCAATATCCGTAATAATAGGCACTAAGGAGTGCAACATCAGAAAAAAAGTACCTGGCCAAACACACTGATAGAAGCTGATCAAGTACAAAAATAAAGCAACAGCTGAACTTTCGCTGATTCACTGATTTTGGTGTTGCAAGTATCAGGCAGGAACCAAATATTTACAGAGGGGTCAGGGGGTTTATAGATCTAGAATTATTCGCAATATGATACTTCACAATGTATTCATAGTACTAGTTTTAGAGCATTATATTCATGATCATGTAACTCATAATCTTTTCAAAGGTAAATGACCTTTACAGTGTGACAAAGTCTCGTGAAGTTAGCCTTGACAATGCAAATCCTCTGTGGTCAATTCTTTCGATCAGTCAACCATCAACTTTCCTATTTATTTCTATGAAGCCGTTCGGGGCAGCTTCCGCAACAAAAAGAAAAGAATAAAACGCAATTTAAAGCATCTAATTTTGAGAAAAGCAAAGACCAAATTGATGTACTTACTGGACAATCCAAAGGTGGATCGAAGTCCATTTGCCATTCCGATCAGCCTCATACTCGCCATGTTGCTGCTAGTGCTGTGTGCCGGATGAACTTTGATCTCAACAACAACAGGGAAGGAAGGTAAGCAAGGGAAAACTACTCGCGGAAAAATCATCAGAGTGACCTCCCCTGATCCCAGCTGTGGGTGGGTGGTTAGGCCAAGAAGAAGAGAAGGCTTGGGGTGGGTGGACCAAGACCTAAGGCCAGTTATTCATATATTATAATCTTACACATTTTGGGAGACTTTTTGTCCCCCCCCCTCCCCTTCTTTCACTTTTGTTACATTTGTCTCTTAACCCCCCAAATCCAGTAACATTATATTGTCCGCTTATAATAATAGGCCTTAAAAAATGACCTTTATATCGCACAAACCGTGTAACAATCATTGTTCTATGCGCATTACATAATATTCATGAAAAATATACTTACACATACAAGCACTTAATAATATATGCAATTCTACAATCACTAAAGAATAACAGAGTAAATCATTCAAGCAAAATATTGCACACACTCTTTTTTAGCCTACTAAGGAAAAAAAATAGACTCAAGTCAATGTCAAAAGTGCCTTAAACAAATAAAACAATTTAGATTTTTTTACAGTGGAATTCTGATAAAGTTTTTAAAAAGTGTAGCATTACACTGGTTCAAGACCCCCCCCC